GATCATCAGAGGGATTAAGTTAATCTTAATCATGTAATCAGGAAACGTGGAGAGAATATATATCCCATTATTTTAATCAGAAGCATCTTTTGGTTATGAAGGTAAGAGAGAAATGGAGGGCAGGTAAAGAGAGAGATAGTAAGAGCCTACGGGGATGCTGTTTTGTGTGTGTTTGTGTGTGTGTGTGTGTGTGTGTGTGTGTGTGTGTTTTGTTCCTGTGAATTCTTGTTGGTTAATATATTGGTTTGCTTATGTAAAAATCCCTAGAGATGTCTAGTGATACAGGGATGCTGTTTTGTGTGTGTGTGTGTATGTGTGTGTGTGTGTTTTGTTCCTGCGAATTCTTGTTGGCTAATGTATTGGTTTGCTTATGTAAAAATCCCTAGAGATGTCTAAACCTCCCAGACTTAGTAATAAAATTATAAAAGGAATCATAAAAGAAATGAACCATTTTTTGAGGCGCTCTTATGTGCCAGGCATGTGCCAGTAGCTTTACAGTTACTAACTGAAGTTCAAAGAGATAAGGAATATATTTATTATGTAACTCGTTAGTGTTAGAACTGGCATATGATCTCTTAGTCTTTCCTTACACTAGATTGTCCAGGAGTAAAAATGCTACTCTGGAAGGTTTGTTTGGTTTTTGTTTTGTTTCTATATTTGCTTGCCTTAATATTTCCTTTTCATCACTTGGTGAAATACAAGATTATAGATACATGTAAAAAAAAAAAAGCAAACAGTAAAAGTAAGATATTTGGAATTACCAAGTTTTAAAAAAAAAACCTTTGTAAGGTTTGTCCTTCTCTTTGACAGTAAAGACCTTTTTATAATCACTTTATATGGGTATAGGGAGGAGGAAGGAAAAATAAGTGGAATATAAAGTTTAGTATTCTCAGTAAAGAGTTAAGCTAAAAGTTCCATTGAGCCCAACTCGGTTCACTAATTATATATTGAGGACATACAGGTCTCTAGACTGGTATTGCTGAAACCAAGATGGAAAGAAAGAAAACTTGAATGACGTATGGGTTAGAACCTATTCACAATGGAGATTATATATGTCAATTTCATATGGAGAAAGAAGATACAATGAATATGGAAGATCATTATTTAAAGCAACTGGGGTGATTCTAATAAAGTTCTGTATTATTTCATAGGAGAAACATATACTTTCTTTATTGTAAAATGTTTTTGTATAAGCACACATAAGGAGATTGTTTTCCTTTCTACTGTTAAGATTTCTTTGAGATGTATGGTGACTTTGGCTTTCTTATAGAATTAAATTTTAAAGTTAAAAGAACCCATTAGAATAAAAATGATTTCCCAGCATGAGAAAATAGGGTTCCCACTTGATAAAAGTGAGTTGAGCAGGTCATTTACCTCTCCTAGGAGCCAAGGGCATGATGGGGTCAGGGCTGGCCCCAACCCTAGTCTCTGCTCTTTGTCCTGCTTTGTTCCACCTGCATTTCAGGGAACCATGGCACAGCCTTTCTCAGCTATGGTGTGGAAGATACTGAGGTATAAATGCCACCAATTAATTTGCATAGTTGAAGAATAAAGATCATTGGACAAGAGAGAAAAATTCAGGATTGATCATTGCTTTCTACTCTCTTTTGTCTTTTTCTTCTCTCTTCTTTCTAAAAGGTAGTTATTAATTCTTCCTAAAAGATAGTTGTCTATTGTAACACAATAAAGAAATCACTATTTCAGTTACATAAATATGGAATTAATATAACAATATTTATAATAAAATTAATCTATTATATATTATGTATAAATACATGCTATGAATGTAGAAAGTAAATATAATTGCACCCTCAATGGTCAGTTAAATAGGAAGGCCTGAAGAGAAGGGAGAACCAGAATGCTGCCTCTCAAAAAAATCCACGGAGAAGGACACACACACACACACACGCACACACACAAACACACATACTTCAGGGAATAGGAAAGTGACAGAAAAAGCTACTCTGGTCTGAAAATTGTCAGTAAATTTATTTGGTTTTATCCTGCTGTTTCCTCCTTCTCTCAGATTAGCCTCTATTACTGCCTTTTCAAATGCAAATTAAATTACCCTCTTATCTCTGAGCTTCATTTGCTCACTAGGCCTTCAGTATTTAGTGGCCCTGCCATAGCGTGAAAATGACACAACTCATCGGAGTGGAAATACTCCAGCTTCAGCAGCGGAGACCAGAGAAATCAATTTGTAAGCCAAGAAGCTGGCAGTGCTCTGTCCTGACAATACGTTACAGTCATCTGGGGAGCTTTTAAAATATATCCACGTTGCCCTTCACCGGTGACCAACTAAATTTGAGTCTCTTGGTGTTTTGGGGGTGGGGCCTCTGGGGATCAGTATTTAAAAACCAACAAACAGACTCTCAGAGGGTTTTCTAGTACGTCCCCCAAATTCTGAACCACTGGGTCCAAAAGATTCTCCACTCCTGCCTGAGGGTCTTAAAATTTATGGCAAAAAAAAAATCTCTTCAGAAATTTTGAAGGGAACTTTCTTCTTTGATTTTCAAATAACTAGAAGATTTTGAAAATGCAATTATATCCCTTTATTGTTTTCTTCTTTTATGCCTTTTTTTTTTTTTTTTGCTGTTTTTTGTTTTTCTGTTCTCTTGCCCCACATTGTCATAACATGGTATTTTATATTTTGCTGTTTATTACCTGTATCACAGACATTCTGGAAAGTTTTTGTTTGGTTTTGCTCTTCTCTCTGTTTCTGGTTTAAAGTACGCATTAAACTGAGATTGGTACTGTAATAGGAGGTACTTTTCTTCGGACTCCATGATCAGTTAGTCTGTATCCTTTCTGGCAAACAGATGGGGAATTGAACATAGAGCTTTTCTTTTCTTCTGAGGAGCTGCTTGAGTAGGGATTATATAATAAATATCACAAAAGGACTACTCCATCAAAAGATTTTACATTTAGTGAAGACAAAAATGTCCCAGCCATGCCAGGTGTTTTGTCACAGGACAAAGACCCCGTGTGTCTCCCTGCCAGATTATTCAGTGACTGACTCAGAAGCAGTTTTTACTTTATCCAGGCGAAAAAAATCATCATAATTAAGTTGTCTGTTCAGAAATTAGTGCTGTATCTTTTTCTTTTACAAAAGCCAGGGAAACACGAGTGCTTAAAATAGATCTTTGAAGAAGACCACGTGACTTATTAACAAACACAGGTGCTACTATCATAAAAATTAGCACTTCTTTTCTCATGGGGCTATTAAGGATGTTTTTTTTTCACCTCACATAAATAACATTTATTTGTTTTTTATATTTTATATTATTTATATGGAAGCATTTATATAGATGAGGCATATAAAAATAAAGTGTTTTATGTTTATGTGAAATACATTTCATGTAAATGTTCTATATTTCTCATTTTCTAGGTAAGGATTTAAATAAGGCCTGCCTAATGACGTACCTTTCCTCCAGTACTGTTGTAAGGGACTGTATCCCAGCTCAAGCATTCCTAGAGGCTGGGCGTTTACTTCACTTGTTTTCTTAATTTCTCCCTTACTGGTGGGTTCTGTCTATCTGCCTATCATGACACAGCAGCTCTCTCTCCTCAGTTCAGTTACCAAGGACTCTGTGTAGCCTTTAATACTTGAGCAGTGCAACCCGGAGTTCTGTGGCTGCTAAACTCTTCATGGTCCATTTGGTTCCTGGAGATTTATTACAGTTGTTTTCAAGTCTAAATATTGATTTCTAGAATTTTCTGGAAATGTGTTCTGTCCCCTTCAGCTTGACTTTTAAATAATACTAAAGAAAGACAGGAGGATGAATTTATGTTGAAGATGAAAGTTACTGTTCAGGAGAGCTCACTTTAGTCCATCTGACCATGAAGTTCATCTTACCAGGAAGTTCAGTAAACTTCAGTTAATTTTTACCAACAATTTGAAATATTTTGAAGTGAAGTGAAGTTGCTAATGTGATTGATACTAAAAGATGGGATATTATCACAAAGAAGAATAAGTATATCTGTCTTAAATTCTCTACAGTTTACGTTGATTATGTGTTTCTGCCTGGCCTCTGTTTTTAGTGGACAAGCGGGACAACCATCAAAGCAACGACATAGGAAAGGGGGCACCCTTGGGTATTGAGGGAACTGAGACCCAGGAGTGTTTAGCTGGAGAGCTCTCCAACCGGCTGTGAGGGTGTCTGCTCTGTGTTCATCGAATATCTCTGTCCTGGTCCTGTCAGCTTCTCATCACTGTTTCTGAGATCTCTGTGTTTCTGGGTTTGAACTTGACTTCCATTTCTTTCTGCATCTTTTCCTTGTCTTCTGGAATCTTACTCTTCCTTCCTGTCCCTGCAGGGCCTTGCATGGTGCTTACCCTTTCCTGTCTGAAAGTCTAACTTTTTTTATTTCAGATATCCTAGAAACCATTTTGCTATATGAAATATTTGGGATGATCCTTGAAATTTTTCTATCTTCCCATTGAAATGTTTGTGGACATGCTACACGTCTGGGCTACAGAAATTGCCCTCTTAAAGATGAACTGCCAGACACACTCAGCAATGATGAAGTATCTAAGATAGATTGTCTTCAGTTACTGTTTTAAAAAACATGATCAATTAATCTTATTTTCTCAGTCTTTCCTCATAACTGAAAGCTATTTCTCTCCTAATTATACTTCCCATTTTGATTGAGGACAACGAAAGACTGTCTTTGGATTTTATAGAAGTGAATTTATGTTAAAGAAAAACATTTTTTGAGGGATTGTGTTACATTTCAAGGTTTATAAGTATATTGAAATTCAAAAGTCACTAAAACAATGGGGCCATTTATTACTCTGAGTAGCTATTTTCTTCTTTGGGAAGTAGCAGGGAATTAATTGCTGATGGGAGTATAGAGAAATGTTTTCTTCCCCTGGCTCATATAAACTGTGTCTCCATGAACCTGGTAGCAAACCCTTACAAAAGGTGGTGTTCTCACTTGGTTATTGATCAGACTTCCAAATATTCTTCTTCTTCTTCTTTTTTTTTTTTTAACTGCAGAATTGACTCCTGAGGAGAAAGCCCAAAAGATCGCCAAGGCCATGCGCAAACAGTCCTCTGAAGTCAAAGAGAAGTGGGAAAGTCTAAACACGGTCACCAGCAATTGGCAAAAGCAAGTGGACAAAGCACTGGAGAAGCTCAGAGACCTGCAGGGCGCCATGGATGACCTGGATGTTGACATGAAGGAGGTGGAGGCCGTGCGCAATGGCTGGAAACCCGTGGGAGACTTACTCATCGACTCCCTGCAGGACCACATCGAAAAAACCATGGTCAGCCTCACTGCCTCAGATAAAGGATTTTAAGAAATGTTTTATTGTTGAATCTAACACAAAGAAAGTCACATGTAAAAACCATTATAAGGCATTTTATGAAGCCAACCCCATCACAACTCCATCAAAATCAGGGTAGAGAGATTTTTTTTTCCAGTCACAACAGATGTTTTCCATATGCCCCTCACCATCAGAACCCCCTCCCCACCAAAATAACAATGAACGAGACTTTCACATTAATTTACTTTCCTTTTTCTTTTTTAAATTTATTTATTTTTAAATATTTATTTATTTGACAGAGAGCAAGACAGTGAAAGAGGGAACACAAGCAGGGGGAACAGCAGGCAGAAGGAGAAGCAGGCTTTCCACTGAGCAGGGAGCCCAATCCAGGACTTGACCTGAGCCAAAGGCAAACGCTCATCAACTGAGCCATCCCACCGCCCCAGCTTTTATTTATTTATTTTATCCTTTTTTTCACCCAACTCTGTGTCCCTAAACACTTCACTACTTTAAAAAAAAGTAATGCAAAGTCATGTTTAATCTCTAGATTTCCCCTCTATCCCTTTTATGTTTTGTTTACAATGTTTAAGAAACTGAATTGTGTGTTTTATAGTATTTCTTTCAGCCTGGGTTTTGTAGAATGGCATCCACGTCATGAAATTGGGCAGGTTCCTTTCTACTCTGTATTTCCTGTAAACTGGTAGTTGGATTTAGGGACTTAATCAAAAACATACTGTTTTGCTGAGGACTCTAATGTTCAATTTTTCTCTCACAGTCTGAGTAGATTATGGAAGGATTAGCTTAGCTATAAATTTTGTTTGTGGTCAGGAATGACCCAAAGTTAAGGCTGATAGATCTGTGATCTTGAGCTCCTTTGGCTCCCACATTCTAGAACATATCCAGAAAAAAAATTAATAGAATTTAGGCAGTAAGAGACACAGTAGTCAGGTTTGTGGTAGCATAGCAACCTCTATATTAGGTAGTCATGAGTCAGATCAAAGAATAAACTAAAGAAATATCAAAAGGTGTTAGACTGACAATATCAATATCATAAATGTGATTTTTACTGCAAAAGACCTATCTTTTGTGCACAGACATTGGATAACATTTTCCCTTTGTTTATGCATGTGGTTAAAAAGGAAGGAGAAAGGGTCTAGGAAATGAAATGAACATGCAGGCAAATTATATAAGCAAATACATGTGTGTGTAGATATGGGAATAATAATGACTAGCATTTATTGAGGCATACTGTGTGCCAAGAACTGTTCATAGCCAGTTTACATGGATACCTCTTTTAATCCTCACACCAACCCAACAAGACAGGTATATTACACCCATTTCACAAATGGTAAAAATGCAGATATTGCTCAATCCCACACAGCTGTTAAGTGGTAGAGTTTTCATGATTTCTTCCTTGCTCTTCTCTTTCATTGTAGGGACCTCACTCATACTAATGTAATTAAGTGCAACTTGTATCAGCTATTGGAATTCAAAACTGAAAGTTACATGTTACATTTTAAACTTAAAAAAAGTTTCACTACTAAAAGAGTGTTAGTATCTGCCACCTTTCATTATAAATTTACATAAATGTGCAGAACTCTATGAATTAAGTAGGCTTCTTCCTACAGCTCTGGTGTCCTGAAAACCATTTCCATGGGCGAATCTGAGTTTCAAATAATGAACCGAAAATAAAGCCTTTTAGTAGAGGTTCTCTGGAAGTTAAACACTTCTTGCGATTTACAAGATGGTCTTTAAATGCTAGAAATCTTCAATTCAGTGGTCTATGAACAGTATATTTTTTTGGACTACAAAAATGCCTCTTGGTTAGAGCAAGAATTTACCCACTTCAATTTGAAAGTATCAATTTTTAATGCAGGATGGTTAGTGTTGAAGGAAAAATGAAAAGTTGTATCTGGGCTTGTTAAAGACCTAAAAGTTTGGGAGTTGTTATTCCCATCTGATTAAAGAAATTACCCGTCTCTCTATCCAAATCCTTTTGTTCAAATCTCTACTAAAGTGGAAAGCCAGGAAAAACACAATTAATATTTAAGAGGAAGGAATAAACTGTGGATTAAAATATTTTCACATCTTATTAAGAAAAGGGAAAATAAAAACCCATGTCTCATTAAACCAAATAAAATGGATTCAAAGTCTGGGATTTTGCACATGTACTCCAAAGTATACGTCAAATCCCACTGAAGCTATTGGCAAATAAAAATAAGTACCGATTATTGCTAAATATTATTAAATATGTCAAAGCAACTGGAAAACAAAATCTTTGAGGGACAATCAAATAAGTTTAATGCCCTAAAATTATCCTTAATCATTCTTCTTTGCAGAATACACACCTTCTGACAGGAGAAGCCTTCTCCACCCCCAAAATCTGCTGGCAGGCTGCCAGTCAGCACCTTTAATGCTAGCAGATGTTCCTGTTTTTATAGCAAAGAAGACCACATAGACTTTTATTCTCCTAGAGGAAAGTGCAGCCAAACATGATAAATTGGCTCTTTATACTAGAACACATAGTGGATTGGAAACCATTTTAAAACTTGCTTTACTTCAAGCCCCTTAATTTGGAAGCTCATAAAAAGCGAAAGATAAACTTTCCCATTATAGAGATTCCTCACTGCCATAACACCCACAAAAACAAAGCCTAAAGACATTGTCGGTCAGAGGTCTTTTAATATTTTCACCTGTAGCTTATAAGAGAAAAACATTATTTTTACAGAGGAAAATTGGGAACTCCTTGATGTTCTATAAGATCTTAAAAATATGTCTTGAAGTTATAACCTGATTTTGAAAGTCTTTTCCCGTCTTTTAAAATAAACCTGTTATTATTTAAAATGATAGAAACCTAAGAGCACTGTCTAGCCTTCCATTTTTTCATCTTTGATACCTACAAAATACAAAGACATTGATTTTAAAAGCTGATTGAAATTCTTGAGTCCTCTCAAGTCATCTAGGAGAGAATATTAATGTTTAATGTTAAATTACAACTGAGTTGTCTTTATTCTTAAACGGAATCTGAAGGAACTCAGGTCTCTTCCTAGTCCAGACTGAAAAATTCGCTTTCCCCACCCTAATCCCACTTCTGTCTGTCCCATGCTTCCCTGTCAGTGGTTCATTCTTTAGACCTAGAACGCCTGTTAGCATATAACTGCTTTTCTCATTGAACCGTGGGTCAGTCTGCACATATTCTGTCATCGGTGAAAGACCAGCATCTACAGCCATGAAGAAAAATGATCACAACTCAAAGTCTTTTCTTTCCATTTTCCAGCAACTCAGATGCCTTTGTGAGATTCCCTTCTTCTGCCTGATTTTGAAATGTTGGTGCCGGGTTCTTACAATGTTTCTTACTTTACACGCATTGACTTCCATGTTCACTGTTTTAAATGTCATTTATACACGGCTCTCTCCTTTGTGTGGACCTTTTTATGCTGACTCTGGGTTCTAGATCTGTTCTTCTGACTTTCCTTCTTGAGTTTCTTCTTGTGGCTTTTGAGCATATTCCAGAATTTTGAAAAACACTAAAATATATTCTCTGGTTTACCTAAAATTAATTTCCTTTTTGAAGTAAAGTTATATTTGTAATACTATTTTGATTTTTATCAACCATAATGATTATTTTTAGCCTCTACATATTATCTAAGGGGGCGTTACATAGGGTAACAGGTTTTGGAAGAGAGAAGAAAGAAAGTGGTTGAAGAGGGTTTTTTTAAAATAAACATAATGAGGAAGCCAAGTTAATACTGTGGTGTTCCAATGAAAATTCATGGTCATCAAAGCACTCTGATATGTAATATTTCATCAACTAAACTTGGTATGGGGAAAGGCAGAACAAGGGTTTGTAGACATATTCCTGTCTCTTAAGGGGTGGGATGGTAGAAACGCTATGATTTGAGGGCTGCTGCTAACTGTGTTCACAACACCTAATACATATCATTTCAGTTTGGCACATGATTAACTCTGATTTTGTGACATACTAAAGAAAAAACAATATACTGTTCTCCTTTAGTATCTCAGTTCTGTTCCCAATTGTATATTGGATTAACTTGCCTCAGGTTAACATTTTCATGGGGCTTTCGTCTGTAGAAGTGAATTCTCCCCTCTTGTATGGCAAAGTTTGTGTTGAATACTGGGGAGTGTCTCTTCTCAAGAAGCTTCTATTCTTCTTAAAGGACATCAAGAATATGGATGTACTAAAAGCTCTGATAAGGAATGATATTTAAAATACATAACAACTGGCCTGTATGGCACCAAACAATCAGAATGGTCTTCACTATGAAGCCCCATTTGTGTGGCTGCATGTGTGCTGGCAGGAAGTCCTTACTGGATTCTAGAAGGCAGAGAGAATGATGGGAGCAGGTAGTGGGGCCTCTAGCCGAGAATGCTGAGGGAAGGGCCTCAGGGAAATGTTCCTTGAAATAGGATGCATAGGGACCTGAGTTGACTCTTAAAGCATCAGTGGGATCTAGGCAAAGACTCTGTTGGAAAAGGGGAACATGAACATAGAGTCGGGGAATTATGCGGCAAAGAGAGAAAGCTTAGTGTTTTCATTATTCTGTTTGCTCTTACAGGACATATTACTGTCCCTGGCCCCAAATATCTTTTGTTTTTCTCTTTCCCTCTTCACAGACATCCTCCATCACCACCTGTACCATCTCTCATTTGTCACTAAGCCTCATTTACATTTTTTCTTATAGACACTACTCTTCCTGCCCCCCCCACCACGTGATGATAATGACTTTGAAAGGATCAAAACTTACCTCTTGAGTAATAGTCATAGATTTTGTGGTTAGGAAAGTTGTTCTTACTGGCCACTTAATTTTATTTATTTTTAAAGATTTTATTTATTTATTTGACAGAGAGAGCGCACAAGTAGGCAGAGCAGTGGGCAGAGGGAGAGGGAGAAGCAGACTCCCCATTGAGCAGGGAGCCCTATGTGGGGCTTGATCTCAGGACCTTGGCATCTCAGGACCTTGGCATCGTGACCTGAGCAAAAGGCAGATTGACTGAGCAACCCAGGCACCCTGGCCACTTAATTTTTTTTTTTAAGATTTTATTTATTTATTTGACAGAGGGAGAGAGATCACAAGTAGGCACAGCAGCTGGCAGAGAGAGGGGGGAAGCAGGCTCCCCGCCAAGTAGAAAGCCTGATGCGGGGCTTGATCCCAGGACCCTGTGATCATGACCTGAGCCAAAGGCAGAGGCTTAACCCACTGAACCACCCAGGTGCCCCTGGCCACTTAATTTTAAATAGTAACGTGTTCAAATCAAATTGTTGCCTCTGATGAAAAAAATAGTAAGATAACCAAGGAAAGAAAAAAAAAGAAGGAAAATATGAAAGAAAATGAAAAATAGAAACAAGACTAGAAATTAGTCAAGTGGATAATAATGGCAAATGTTTTCCAGATGAAATTACATAAGATGATAGATTTGCAGGAAATACATCATCATCTCAATGAGTTTGCCTTACAATTTTTCTCTCTGTGCTGCTGTTTAGATTCTCCAGGTTACAAAGGCTGACTCTGTGGTGTTGGTCCCCGTGGCTACAGACGTGAGCTGGGCTGCCGTTGAGTACACAGCTGTTGTCAGTGGCCTCTTAGCTGGTCTTGCCATTTTCTTTGAAGAAGGGTTCAAAATCCTACCTTCTGTTACATTCTTTTCCAAGGTCATCATTTCTGTTTTTATTCTTCCAGGCATTTAGAGAAGAAATTGCACCAATCAACCTAAAAGTTAAAACAGTGAATGATTTGTCCAGTCAGCTGTCTCCACTTGACCTGCATCCATCTCTGAAGATGTCTCGCCAGCTAGATGACCTTAATATGCGATGGAAACTTCTGCAGGTGTCGCCACTTTATCCCTCTTCATGATCTAGCCTTGCCCAGTCGGTCCTTAAACCCTGCCTGATCATTCCCCACACACCATCGCTTTCTCCTTCTTTGCTAGTTGTAGTTGATAATGGATTTGTAGCATGTAATACCACCAGGTGTCTGTCGTTCCATATCTTGAACCCAGAGGCCTCATTTGTTTATGAATAGAGGTTTTAATGTAATTTTATGAGGTACCGTTCATATGATATTTGTAGAAAACTGCAGAAGTTCAGATAAATCATAGTAATGGAGACCTAGGATAGGTCACAGAAACATTTTCCCATAATGGCTCATGAAGGAGTCATTTTTCTTACTTTAATCATGTATTTTTTTTCCTTTTGCAAACTTAAGTGATCTCTATCCTTCTTCCACTGTGTGCTACTCAAGTATGTTGTTCATTCTTTCCAGCTGGCACATTTACACTATTGTGGTGTTCTTACCTTTACCTCTTATGTCTTAAGTTGTTGTAGTGACTGTGGATATTACTTGTTCATCCCAGATTTAACAGAGCAAAGCCCAGAAGAACTCTGTTGAGTACTACTAGGTATCCGCACGTACAAGTCACCACACATGCCCATGAGTAGCTTAGTCTTGGCAGAACTTTGTCATGTTCAATGGCCAGTTCCTTGGAGTCGTAATAATTATTTTTTCCCTGAAAACTAGCAGGATAATTTAAGTGGAATATTGAAAAAATAATTGTGCATTTCTCTCTCTCTTTGGGGCCTGAAATGTAGTCTTTAATGAGATAGATGTGCAGCTAGAGGTGATACACAAAAGCATTTTATTTTAAAGCTATAATATTTTATAGCATATTAGGTTACCTGAATTAACTCAAACGTTGAATACCCAGTGCTTCATATGTTCTTCATGAATATGAAGATTTAAGAAATGAGTGCATAGCATCAAACCGTTTTTCTATGTTTGAAAAGACTGTTAATAATCTGGGATTAGTAGAGTAGGAGATGGTAAAGTCAGACGTGCTTTTCTAGTGAGTGGAACACTAAGCGTTTGACTTTCTCTTTTTTCCTTCTGCTCCATTTCCCTAATTCATTACCTTCATGTGGGTTTTTCTGTGGTCTATCCTGATCGCCTTCTGCTTGTGTTACCGCTATCTCCAAAGATTAGAAGTCACTGAGTGCACTGTGCTTGAAAGGGGATATGCATTCTCTTATCCTTATCTCTGAGTGTTGTAACTGCTGGAGCGCAGATGTTAGTTGCGGGTTGAATGAGAAGGGAAAGAATCTCTGCTGACAGCAGTGTCGCTTGTTCAGGACCATTGTCTCTTCACCTGTACTAGACGGTGGCGATTAAGTGCTTTTTGGCTTTAATGAACAAAGCACTTGCTAATGCAATTTAAATAGCTAACCAGGAAAAACTAGAGCTGCCCAGGGAGCCAGAGATAGACACGTTTCATTTAAAGGCAGCTGAAAATAGGATGGACAATCTATCCAGGACTCGCACGCAGAGACCGGGGCCAGGAAAAAGAAAATGGAAGTGTCAGTAGGCTGTGTGTGGTGGTTACTGAGTTGCATTTAGCCTCGCAGTGGACCCGCTGTGCATTTTCATAATGTAGAGAGCTAACGGTGGAAGTTGGGAGGACAGATTCAGAGAGTATACTAATTGGCTGCTATACCCTTGGATACCCCCAAGTTTAGATGATTGAACACAAATGTGGAAGCAGATAAGAGATTCCATACTCCTAGATCTTCGTACTGTCCATCCATCTCTATCTATCCGTCTATTGTCTAATTCGATCTCTCTGTCATCTACCTGTCTTTCTGTCTGTGCCTCTGGCTGTCATCATCTATCTGTGTTTTTCCCCAGCATTATTTTAGACTTCTTTTTCATTTGCTTCCTGTGGCGCTTTTGACTACGTTCCTTATAGAGGAGAGACGAGTAGCCACTGGCCACAAGGCCACAGCTTGACTTTAGATGCTTTTGCGCTTTCCTGCTTTCAAGGCAGCATAGAGTAACAGGAAAGCAAGAGCTCCTGGGACGAGATTAGCTGCATGTGGATACTAGTACTGTCGGGTACTGACTTTCTGTCCTTGGACACCTCTTTGTGCCCCGATTTCTTCATCTGTAAAGTGGTGATAATAATAAATAACACTTACCCAACATGGTCATTGTGATGGTTAAAAGAGTTAATTTGTATGAACTGCTTAGAAGAGTGCCTGGTGCTCTTTGCAGTCAGTTGGTACCGGAAGAGGGTATTTTAATCCTAGTACTTTGGTCCTAGAGATAGAGAAGGAGTCTGCACAAGCAGTCATATCTCGGGCAGTAGCCTCCTTTAGTAAACAGGGTTTCTGGAGGGGGTGTGTGTGGGGGATGGAGTAACTGGGCAATGGGCATTAAGGAGGGCATGTGATAGGATGAACACCTGTGTTACATGGAACTGATGAATTCTTGAACTCTACATCGGAAACTAACGATGTGTGCTCTATGTTGAATAATTGAATTTAAATAGAAAAATACTTAAATCAAGTATTATTAAAGTCATTGTTTTCAAATCAAATTATTTCTTGCATGTGTGTATGCAGGTTTCTGTAGATGATCGCCTTAAACAGCTTCAGGAAGCCCATAGAGACTTTGGACCATCCTCCCAGCATTTTCTTTCTAGTAAGTTTGACTGTTCTCATTAACTGAGGGAATGAGCATATTCTTTCAGTTTCCTTCCAGGAGCCATATTCTTTGCTACATTTACTCACGTTCAATAAATGTACAGAAAGTAATATTAAGATTCATTACCATATTGTTTATTGGTTATTAGTTGTAATAATCTGGCCACCATTGATAAGTCCCCAAAGTGGAGCAAAACTGAATTTGTCTTTAGCTGTGGTTTTTCACTGAACCATCAGCTATAGTAACTAATATAGTATCATATCATCATTAGCGTATCATAAAGGCTATGAACTTTTTCACAATAAAGAAATCATTTTTACATTTTCAGATTTCTAATTAGTTTTTCTTCTTAAAAAGTGTTTATCAATTTAAAATGTACCTGTATCTTTAGCAATAAAAAAAATAACTCCCCACAAATCTGAGATTTTTGTTTATTAGGTTCACTGTAATCATACTTTGCTTTTCTTTCGGTCCAGTATTGCAGATGTAGCCAAACCACATATGTAGATTTGTAGGTAATATTCTCCAACTGAAACATTTAATTTTATGGACTGTTCATGAGATCTTATATATGTGCTTTGAGCTTCTATTTTCTTTATCATTCATTGCTGGGGAAACTAAAGAATGTAGGATTCAGAGTCATCCAAATTAAGATTAAATTATTAATTCTGCCTTTTGCCAGACCTGTAGATTCCTGAGAGTTAATTTCTTTATCTTAAAATTCTATAATAATAACAATTTTTTCTGATCGCCTTGAAAATTGAGTGAGGAAGCAGAGTGAGTTTCATAGCACCCATCACAGTTCTTGACACTGATGCTTTCACTATTAATTTCTTTCCTTTTATTTTTCCTGGCAAACATATGCCAGAAACAGCTTGTTTAATTCAACATAAATGAAGTTTAAAACTTAAGGCACAGCTTATATCCCAATTATGAGAACTTCTTTGTATCTATAATGATAGAGAAAACTGAAGTAATACCATCTCTTCCAACCAAATCGATTACATTCATATTTTCCCTTAATCTTTTGTCATGGTTGATAATCTGCTTTACCTCAATTTAAGGTTGGCTTTTCTATTTTCACAGTTTAGAGAATCTAAATTAGTCATTTCCTGCCCCTCCTGTCCTCGAGTCCTCATGCTCCCCCACTCCTCTCCCCCTCTCCACGCCCCCATACACATTTTCTCTTTCACACACAAGAGCTCTTAGATAGCCTATCTTTGAGTGATTGTAGTCCTTCCTGGATTATACTGGGTGCAAGGGTACATTTCTAAAGTTGGGATGCCATCAGTGTTGATAAAGAAGTGTGCAGTCTCATTAGGTATGAACTACTTCAGATTTCTTAAACTTAATTTAAGCTGTGTGCTAAGGCCAAATTAAAGCAGAATTTAACAAGAACTTGTGACTCTATTTACAGTTCTAAGGATTAGTTATCTATTAGTGATGAAATCCTGCACTTTGACCCAGCAACCATTTGTTCATAATAAAAATCCAACTCATGTTCTTTAGGAAAGGAGACATGGTAAGATTCACATGTACTTTGTGAAACCAAAGCATGTGGCCTTTTATTGTCTGGCCCTGGTAGTCCAAGGAGGTCAGAGTTTTTCAAATCAAAACAATTGTTAACGTGAATGAAGACATGTAAACCAAATCCCAATTAATAAATTGAATAATTGTTATCTCTTGCTGCTTGGAATCATTGGCTTTATAATATTTCTTGGACATCAGCCAGGTTATAAAAGGAGTCTGTTTAGCTAGAACACAAAATAAAAACTGACCTATGGGGCTGGTGCCAACACTGAAACGAGGTTGGCTCCAATGAGAAATTTATTATACCTACTTCCACATTTTCATCACCCTTTTATATTTTCACGGACATAGTTGGAGAAGGGAGTGCTCCCATGCTATAAAGAGAAGAAGAATTGTTGAACAGGAGAATTGCTGAACTAGGGGTCAGAAATCTTGAGATCATGTCTGAGCTCGGCCATTTCTTTATGGAGCAAATTCTTTCACTTCTGAGTATCTCGTTCCTTACTTATCAGATAGAGCTCTAATGAGGGCTTGTTGACTTCCTTATCAACAGATGTATTTGAAAAGGCTTTGCGAGTTTAGAATGCTATATTTTTGTAAGATATTAATGTGACCTGAAATTCAGAAAAAAAAAAAAAAGCATTGATAACAACTGGCTCTGAGAGCCTAGTGATAATTGCAACAATTTGTTTGAATTGCTTGTTTATTAGTTTATTTGGCAAAATTCCTTAGTAGCTCTAACTTTACATGTTTAACTCTTCTTAAATCAGTCTTAAAATAATTTTATAGGAATAATATAGTTTTATAAATAAGGAAGAACTGGAATTATAAGATATAAGTACCTGAAACAAAATATAAAATCTCAATCATAGTGATATCTAATGTGAAAGTAAGAAACTGTATTTTCTGTGCATTTCAGATGAACTAAGTTTTTGGCATTCTTCTATCCAGATAATTACCTTTGTTGTTTTCTTTTTTGTTGTTGTTGTTTTTAACAACCCTTTGCCTGTGTTTGTCTTACTCTTTCCTTTTAAAAATTCATACAAATGAGTTTGTTTAAATGCCATCTGTCCTAGATAGTTATTCTTGTGAAACAAAGTAAAGCATGTTATTAATAATCTGGAAAATTCAGTCTTGGGGAATCTAGTTTATAATCTGGATATACCAGGTAAAATTAATTTTGGCTTTAGCTTAATCAAAAAATATATACAGAGTCCATTTTTCGGATAGCACTAAGTTTTAAATTGTGGTGATTATAAACAATAAAACTTGATTTTGAGAAGTATTTTTAGCAATAGGTTCAATTAGTTAGGTTGGCATTTGAAATTGGAACCTGCATTGTTTCTTTCCTTGCTTCAAATGAATCTTTAAAAAGTTACTCTTTGTTTAGCCTCACAGATTTCATAATTATAGGAATCCAGCTCAAAAACCAGAACAGTTCGCGTTGAATTGGCTATAAAATGTGTTCAGTTGTTTTGCATTATGGCGTAAGTCTTTTGGGTGAGCAGTGTTTCCAATAACCTCCCTTTGTTTCTTCAGCTTCAGTCCAGCTGCCATGGCAGAGATCCATTTCACATAATAAAGTGCCCTATTACATCAAGTAAGTTGATTTTAATTCTCCTTTATGATACCAAAAATACAAAGTTATGTTGATAGCTTAAGAGGCTTTCCACTGTAACTTTGGAAAATAGAATTCAATCCTGCTGTCTGAAGGAAACTATATATATATAATATTTAAAAGAAGTTAGTTTAAAAATCAGAGTATTTTTTGTAGTTTATTAGGTTAAGGCCATAGGTGTGTTTAGCATATATTATTTTTAAACTGATACTAAAATATTTGGGGAAACTGACAAAATTTCTAAATATGTCAGACTCTTGGGGCACCCGGCTGGCTCAGTCTGTAGAGCTTGAGACTCGACCTTGGGATTGTGAGTTCGAGCCCCACCTTGGGTGTAGAGATTACTTAAGAATAAAATCTTAGTAAATAAATATGTCAAACTCTGGACATGATGCTGTTTCTCACACTGTACTGATTCTAAACCATTTTTATTTCTCCCAGAAAATCCATTTAAAAAGTGCTGTACTCTTCTCATTTTAATCCACTAAAAACAAGCAGTGTTTTTATCATTAAAAAGTTCAGTATTTTCAGGGGTTTTTGGCTTATGGATATTATCTGCAGTATAGTTTAGATTTATCATTCTTCCTTTTTTTATTGTCAATTTGAGAGTTTCTCCTTTTTACATACCAGTTTCTCTTTATTATATAACATTTTATACATTTTGTATCATTTACACAAGGTCTGAGTAGGATTTGATCCTTGGCTTAGGCTAGGTATTGTCCTAGGACAGAATGATACAATCCCTTGAGGTGTAAATTAGCAAAGATGTTGGTTTACAATGTGTTAAACTGATGAAAGTCCTAGCTGACTCTGTTTTATGTGTATGGTGAACAGCATCATAATTACAGGAAAGTAATCACTATTATTAGGAGTCAACTCTGTCTCAGATTAGCCAGCTGACCTCAGGCAAGTTGGGTAAACATCTCTGGGCCAGTTTTCCTTTGTATCTTTCCTAAATGGCATATGGATCTCCAGAATCCTTGCTGACACCAATAATCTACTCTTCCAATATCCCTCTTTCTGAAAAATTTGTATATGAAGCCAGTGTTTGTGAAATAGTATTTCTTTATGAAGGTTCTATTGTAGTCTGAGATGCATCCTCTGGGTAAAGAAAAATCACCATACCATATATGAAATATAATAATAGTATATGTTATATTGCCTTAATGGAATTCACTACTTTCACTGTAGAGTCTATAGTGTACTGGTTTGTGATAAACTTAAGGATGAGGTAGCAAAGCAACTGGCTGGTGTCAGATTTGTGCATTCATGAATAGAAAAGTCAGAGGCTGGGTAAATTGACATGTCTCTATTGAGAATGTAATCATCTGAATCAAATTTAAACCATTTTTAAGATTTTTTACATTTTTATTTTTATAATAATTAATAATAATAGCAGCAGGTGAAGAAGGGGGCATGAGTCAGGGAATACTCACAGCCTCTAGAAACTAGAAAAGGCAAGCCAATGGGATTCTCTTTTAGAATCTCTAAGGAGGACCACAGACCTGCAAACCTCAATTTTAGCTTAAGGAGACATTTATTTTGGAGTCATTTTTTTATAGCAGCAGTAGAAAGCTAACACATGTATTACACAAAATGAAGAAGTCCATGAAATTATTTGAAATTAAATTTTTTTACTCAACTGACAAAGAATCCTTATGTGATTTTTTTTTTAAAGTGTTGATCAGATCCAGCAAAGCAGATTTTTGTCTTTACTGGATAAAGAAAATATTAATTCTCTTGTTTGATTATGTTATATGCTGGCTATTTATTTGACTTGTCATTTTAAGAATCCATCTTGAATTTTAGCACTGCTATTGAAAAGGAATTTCTGTATGTCCAAGTTGATTATATATGGCTAAAAATGACATTAAGTCAGAGTTTCACTGATTCAGAATTTTTATAATTTTGGTTGGCTCTCACAGGATTATAGTCTTGTTCACACTATGAGTTCTGATGGGGTAAACTGTATAGCAAAAGCTTGTTCCTCTGACATCTCATTAGCTGGAGCTCCATGACCATGACCATGACCAGCACTTTAAAATATGTATAATACAATGATGGCCAATATGTGTAATGTGACTTGTAGGATTGTAGCATCCTAAAATACCTTCAACATCGTTAGTGAAAGATTGAATTTTCTTGACTCCATATAATTTTACTGTTAAGTGTCTTTTGGGACTTTGAAATATGTAGAGATCTCCCCAGGTATATAGGTTGAATTCTCTTATTTTTAGAAAACTTTCAGCCAGATGCTTTCATTACCTGCTCTGTTGTGTAACTTAACAGTTTCTTTCTTCATAATAAAGTATATCAATCTCTGGAGGTAGGGTTGATATGAGCCAGTATTTCCAGATGAAGAATTGTTATGAAAACAAAACTTAATTCCCAAGTAAATTAATAAGCAAGTAAATAATGAGTGAAAGGGCTTTTAATATACACTTCCTTTTGCATGGCTGCACAAGTAAATAGAGGAAGAATGTTAAAAACAAATTTAGCATGATTATCATGCAGCTAGGGTCTCCTGGAGCATATTAGGATGTATTAATTTAGCCAAAAAGAAAATAAGAGTCAGGTAAAAATGTGGAAGTATACGATTTTGTATTCTTTATAGAAGTATAAGATTTTTTATACTTCAGTGGCAGAATATAGTGAGAAAATTGAAAGGAGAATGGGAAGAACAAAGTGTTTTTCTTTCATATTTTTGTTTTATCAATTAGCTAAAACCTACTTTGATGGCTCTCCAATGCATTTCTTTCTCTCTAGGTGTGTTTTCCTTAATATTTTGTGGTGTACTGCAGTGGTTCCAGACTCATTTGTTTCTAAAAAATGGTAGAATATAGATTTGAACTGTAAGGGTCTGTATGGTATAAATCCCTCTAAAGTTGAAACTCATATCTTTAAATTATATTTGCTGCATCTAAGGTAGGCTTTCCAAATCTGATCTAGTTATTTTTTCTTTTCTAGTATGATCCAGTGACAGCTCATTGTTCTATCAGTTTACAGAAACCTGCAATGGCTCCTGCTGCCTTTACAATATACAAAAATCTACCATCAAAGCCAGGTTTCTTTCTCTGTGGATTTTTAGTTATGTGTTTGTGTTTTGCGCACGTTTTTCATTTCCTCAGCTAAAAGTTAATATCCAGGGTGTTTCAGGCATAAAAGTAACAACGAGTAAAAGCTTTGGGTTGAACTTTTCTAACATGTCACGTTAATCATATAAAGCTCATTGCTTCTCATTTTGATCTGGAAATAATACTAATAAATAGTCATAGCGGGTGATAATAAAGATCACTGAAACGAATTATATTTTTTGAATATTCATTTGCCAGCCACTGTGCTAATCCTGTAATTATCTCTTAATTCTCACTGGAGTGTTGGAACTGTCATTACCCCATTTACGAACAAGGCTTAGATAACAAGTACGGACATAGCTTACTCCAATCATACAACCAGTACAAGGAAGAGCTAGTGCTCAAACCCAGGGACTGACTCCAGCTCCTGCCTCTTGACCGTTGCGTCTCCAGCTCTCTGCACTGAGCAAAGAGAACAGAAATTTAAGTCACATGGAAAATCTGGGTAGTATGGGGACTTATATTAAAGAAGGCGTGGTCAGGTGGAGGAAATTTGAGCAAACATCCTTTTTGTTCATGCTACGGATTGGCTGCCGTTTATGATACACCTACTAAGGGCCAGCAGTTGAGGGCAGAGCTCATTTTCGTAGGTCATTTCTGTAAGGGTAATGCATGCTTTAATATGATTAAGGAAATGTCACACTGCGTGGTGCAGTAATGGAGAGAGGTACTTTTCTATAGGTAGAAAAATGTAGTTGTCCACAGTCCTGCCAGTCGGATCTTGACAGGAATTCAGAGGTAGGGTGTGTGGCCCTCCACTACCTTTCCTCAGTTCCACGGTCAGAGATTTCTGTCATTAGGTGGATTTCCATCCATGATTAGGATGCTCAACAGAGCGGGCTCATAAGTCCCGTAGGGCTTTTTGTGTAGATGGCTCTGTACATATCCAGTCTGTTAGTAAGTCGCACTCTTTCACAGAATTTAGTAAGGTGAAGTTAGGAAATCTGGTTTTCTGTTCTCCCTCTACGATGTCATCTCTGAAGCCACAGTGCGTGACTTTTCAGGAAGCCTTACCGGAAATGCTGCTGCTGCTCTCATGACGGGTTGTCCCCTCACATCCTAACAGTTTTTCCACTTGAATCTGAGGTGCAAACCTAAATTCTTTATAGAATCCTAAGTGTGCTCACACACATGCAGCTTTCATGTGAACATTTTAGTAATCTCTTCTTACTAGATAATACATATCACATTCTCTGAAACTGACGTTTCTCAGTATTACAGTGTATTAATCAAAATAAACTATCATTACCTACAGATACCACTTCCATGGATTCTCTGCCTTATTCTCACTCCCCTTGACGAACAGGCCTAAATCAAATTTTTCCTCAAGTTATTACATCTCCTTTATATTTTCCTTTTCTATTCTCATGTCCATTAGGGATAATTCCCCTTTCTTGCCTTCCAAGGCCATTGTCTGCTGCCCTAATCATCAATTGCTGGGAAAAAAACAAAACACAAAGTTTATAGTTGTAAATAAAATCTTGGAGAGCAAGTAGCTGTTTTTTATAGCAGTCATGTAGTTTATTTGCATAAACTCGATTTCCTTGTCTCATTATATATGTACAGTCTAAAGGAGAGAATTAATGCTTATTTCTTTAGAGGTATCGTGGACCCAATCAGTGATGTAGGTGAAATATTTCTCCCTTAAATAAGAGCGGAGAGGAGTGACAGCAAAGGGTTTTCCAAATATTTAGCCTAACAAGAAAGTCAAAGCTAACAGAGGTGTGTGTATAACAAAACAAAGAAGAAATTAACATAAAGAATTTTATGTTTAAAGACTGGAGGAAACTCATCCCAAAACAAAATAAATCCATAACAAATATGTAACTAATAATGAAAGGCAAACAC